CCATCATTTCATTTACTGAAATATTTGAATTTAGTGTGTAAAGTTATTTTGAAACATCACGAATTTTTAAAAGTAAAGGTTCCAGTTTATCAAAAAAATTGTTAATTGTGGCTGTAGGAGAAGAGATGTGTAAATATCTCTTGATTTGTTCAAATCACTTTAATGACATTTGTTTAGAAATATGATGGATGGAAAACTTTGAATCTTCATTCCAATATTGATTAAGTGAGGGTAATTTAAAGAGTCCTTGATAGATAACTAGGCTTATCCAGATAATATGCTCTTTACAATCAATATTTTGCCATTTCCTACCAATAGCATCAGCATCCTTTATTAATGCATACAAATTTGTATTAACAACTATTGTATCTAATATATATAGATTTTGGAAAAAAAAAAGAAAAAGGTTGATAGGTTTGAAAAAATCAGCTTCATAACTTGACGGCAAATTATTAAATGCCTGGTATAATGATTTTGGATGAATAAAATGTTCAAAGTTAGGAGGTGGTGGTAATTGTACAGTTTTTGCTAGTCTGCCTCTACTTTTACAAGCACTTTTCGTATTCTTCTTTTCATTCTTCTCAAAATCTGATTCAACAAAATGTTGACGGAACGTTAAAGTAATATATATTCTTCCTCTTTATCAAAATATTTGTCAAGAGGAAATGAAATTGAGGCCGGGACACTTGGTCTTGCTGCAAAAGACATAGCATTAAAAAAAGATTAAAAGTGGTGATTGGTAAGGTGATACTGTGAAAGATTTTAGATTATCATTAAAAAAAGATTAAATTTGATAATCAATAAGGTAATACACTTTTATTATTACTTAGAAAGAGAGGTATTATTAAAAAAATCACGTGTGATTATACAAATGCCAATCAAAACCAATTTCAGCGGGCAAATTTGCCCGCTAGATGGTTTAAGAGATAATATTCTAATATATAAGTATAGTTATTATAATTATTAATTATAAGATACTAATCTAAGTATTTAATATATTTAATATGTTTAAATTATCTATAAATTAAAATTATGAGAAATATTAAAATCTTTATAATAAATTTAATGAATTTGAATAAAAAAATAATTAAAATTGAATCTATTAATAAAAATAGTGAAAAAATTATTAAAAATAAGTTGATTAATATAATAAATAATATAAAAATAATAACAAATTAATTAAATAATGTTAAAAAATAATTTTAAATTAAAAGAATTATATATATTTTAAAAAAAAAAAACATTTATATATTAAATCTATTGTAGTATTGAAATAAAATGACTATATTCAATTAAATTAATTAATTAAATTAAATCATTAAATTTAAATAAGATTATTAAAGCATGATGTATTAGAGTTGGCTTAATGGCTAATAGATCCAATAAATTAATAACTAATACATTCAATAGATTTTAATTTATTAGATAAGTCGATAGATCTATGAGAAATATTAAATCTATTGAAATATTTAATTTAATTGGCTAATTTATTGTATATAAATTTAATTGATTTTAAAGCTTATCAAATTAAGCATGAATATTATAAATATATTTTTATTTATTTTAATCCTTAAATTATATTTAATAAAAATTTGAAGTTTAATTATTAATACTAATTTTACATATTTTACTAATCTATATCAAATTTTTTACTAAATTAAATTTAAATATAGAAAAGTTTTTCAGTAGGCTAAAAACTAAAAAATTAATACTGGATTCTGATTCTTCTTAGTATAATGATTCAATAAGCTAAAATTCATCAAAATCAGATCAGTAGATTAGCAACAATAATCTACAAAATCATATTATTATATAAAAATTTGGTTAGACTATTTTTTATCTTATAGATTAATTTTTTACTAAAAAATTTGAATGAATTTTAATTTATTAGAATCACTGAATTGAGAAGAATCAAAATCTAATGTTATTTATTTAATAGTTAGTTTGTTGAAAAAAATTTTCTATGCTTAAATTTTATTAACTAATAACATTTAATATAATTATTAAATTGCATAAAATTGGTATTAAATATTTCAACATTTTATTGAAAATACTATAAGATTTAAGGATTAAAATAAATATAAAATTATATTTCTAATATTTAAAGACAAGTAATTCTACTTGCATTTGAATTTTTTTTCTGCAATTTTTTTTTGTAATAATAAATTATATCACATGTTAGCTAATAAATCATTATCTATTAAGATCTATTAACCAATGATCTATTTATATACAATATACTGTATTATTTGGATTTAATAGATTATTAATAGATCTGATTTATTAGATCATTTAACTATTAAAGTTCAATAGATTTAATTCATTCCTAACTTTGTTGATATGTAATTTAATCATATGGATTCAGAAAATTAATTATAAAGAAGATAAATTAGCTAAATTATGGTTATTTTTCTAATATTTAAGAAAAGATAATAATTAAGTAATTATAATATAGAAATTTACAAAGGATTATATAATATAAAAAGTCTAAAAAGATAAAGAAATTAAATAACTTACAGGTTAAAAAATATATAAGGATTAAAGAAGAAGAGATTTTTAAAAAATAGTAGAAAAAGAAGAAAATGTTGTTTTAAAAGAAAAACTTAACAATAATTAAAAGATTATTCAATAAAGATAAAATTCTTAAATTATAAATAAATTCATTAATAAAATTAAATTATTTTATTTAAAAACTTGTTATATATCAGAACTTTGTTAAAAAAGAAATAAAGTCATAGTTATTATAAAATTCTGATTTAACTTTTTCAAAAAGTAGAAAGTAAGGTTGTTTGTTTAAACTCATTTTGGATTTGGCTAAATGTTTAAACTTTTAGTTTCGCTAAATTTTTACTAAGTATTTGATATAATTTCACCATTTTTATAAGCTTTGATATAGTTTTACCTTTTTCTGTATTTTGCAGATTTTTTAATAAGATTTTAATATAATTTAATCTTTACATTTAGATGTCTGTCTAAACTCTTGATTTCATCTAGCAACTTTAGTAGAAAGAATATAAATATTAATCTAATATTAATTCTAATTTAACAGAAATAAAATCTTATGCAAAAGAAAATTAAAGTATTTTTTCTTATAAGAGGAGGATCAGATTAAAATTTTAGAAATTTTGACTTTTTTTCTCTCTTATTACTATTTAATTTAAGAAATATATAATTAATTTATATAAAATTTGTGAATAAATTGAATCCTTTTATAATGATATTAATATTAGACCTTGTTAAAGTTATTGTGTCATACAGATTTATAAATTTAATATTGTTAACTTTTTTAACTCCAATATTTTTAACTTCTTTAACATATTTATAATTTTTATATTATTTATTTTTTATTATATTTATTATTATTTGTATATTATTTTATATTTTATCTTTAGTATTTATTTTATCATTATTAGTTATTTATTTTAAAGTAGCATTAGATATAATTTTTTCTATAAATGTAATTTTATATAAATAGGATAAAAAGTTACTCTTATAAAAGAACAATTCAAAAGTGCAAATTCAAGTCTTATAATTCAAGAGTTAAGATTTCTGAACATACAAACCTATAATAAAAATAAATCTCTTTCTATATTTTAAAATTACAAAATTAAACTTATGTAAAATAATTATTAAGTAATAAACTTAAAGGCTGATCATAATAGGACTTATCTCACAGTAATCTTTAATTAAATATATATATTACTCCCTATTATCAAGTCAATGTTACCTTAAGTTTGACAGTTAAATATAAAATTAATAACATAATTTCTAATTCTTTTTTAGAATTTGAAATGGTATTATAGATCCTCAGTTTATATGTGATTATATCGAAATTTAATGATTTTATTGGTCAATTTTACGTGACAACTTCGAATATTTATGTAACGTAAATGGAAATTATTAAATCAATCTAGTTTAGGTGAACACAAAAATATTTTTGCGACGCAGTTTTTTTTCCTATATAAATGGTTGAATTCGACTTAAATCAAAACTCAAAAATAACAAAAATAAAATAAAGTATAATGTCAACTGTTACAAATTTCCAAAACTTTTTTATAATACAACTTATACACAAAAGACCAACATTTTATACCTCGAAAAGAGGTGGTTGAACTTGTTCAAATAAGATTTCATAAAGTTGATTTAAAAAAATTGAACGTAAAAATCAATAGCTGATTGAACGAGGACACGGATTCAAGAAAAATATCAGCAAATACTTGGAATTTGAAGGCCATTTTAGTTCATTCCTAGATTTAATTGAACGAATTTACTATCATTTGCTGAAATTTTTATCGTTTTTAAATGTATTTTAATATAATTTAAAAAAATTAAAAGTTTTGTTAAAAATAAAATTTATTATTTCATGTGAAAGGCGTAAAAATTTGTATTTTTCAATAAACATTGTTATGTAATGAGGCGTAACTCGCCTTTTACACAGCCAAGGTTTGTTCATTATGGATTGTATTACTGCGGTTAAAATGATTAAGAGCGTGAATTTTGTGATTAGTTAATTTTACTTATGGTGGTGAAAAAAATTTTTTTTTTCCTTTATTGATATACTGTATATAAAAAAAAATGATTTATTATTGTGAAATACCGATCATAAAAACGAGAGATCTTATATACAATAAACAGATAAATTGAATAGATTGTATTTTTTTTTTATTAAAAAAGTGATATCGATAAATCTTAATATAAAAAAAGATGCGCGTTCGGACAAGTTCACAAAATTTTTTTCCCTTTTTGTAGAATTCTTAAGCGGGATAGAGAATGTTCCTTGCCCTTTAACAGATTTAAATATATATTCGCGTGCCCAAATCCAACGAATACTTTGAATCTGTAAATTTCTAATTATCTATAATGTGAGACACGCTTCTCATTTTTGACGAGAAAAATTAATTAATTACTCCACAGAATTTACAAAAAATTTTCAAGTCATCGATAATCTAAAATTAAATATTATATATACATCCAGGGTATTTAAATTTCTCGTTTCCTTCTTATAAATCGGAAATTCTCGTACTTTCTGATAATATGCTCATTTCATCAACGTCAACATTTACTTCTTTGTGCCATTCTTGAACGAAAACAGGACCTTGGATGTTCGAAGTGTCATAATCATCGGGGGCAACATAAGAGTTGATCCTATACCTCTTGTTTTTACCTTCAAATTCATCAAAAATTTCATCGAATTCTCTTCCTTTCCTCCTTGTATTAGCAAGGTCGTCATCAAAACTTATTTGGGCATTGATACCTCTATTTATAAAACTCTGAATTGTTTGTTGTTCCTAATTTAAAAAATCATGTACACTTAAAGTATTAAAAAATATATATATATATATATATAGAGAATTAAAAGCTATACAAAAAAAATAATAATACTCACTGGTTGAGGCCCAACCATGTTAAATGCACTTTCACAAACACGTCGGCCAACTCGCACGCATTCTAAAACCCATTCGGGATTGACGACACGGCAGTTTGTGTTGCGCCGCAAGTTCTCAATCTTATACCAAGGGACCGGTAACTTCGTCACCATATGAGTTGCTGTTCTCCTTAATTTGGAGCTATGCACATAAATTTATATTCGATTAGGTAAAACGAAACAAATGAAAAAATGAAAGTTTATAATTAAGTATCAACAAATAACTTACTAAACTTTGCCTCCGTTGTTTGCAACAATTGCCTTTATACTTTGACCAGCATGTGAAGCTGCATCATCTAATAGGGAAAATTTCTTAATAACTTGATTGGAATAAACATAATAACATTTATATGTAGGCGTAAAATTACCTGTAAAATAGACAGTGAGCCCAAAAAAGATGCCATTTCTGACTTTTGGTGATTCCTTCTTACTTGAATTTAATGAATTGCGTCCCTGAGTTACTCCAAAAAAATCATTAAATACATTTGTGTTGAATTGTGCTTTCTCCTCGACTGTCACTTTCAACTTTGCTGACTTGTGCAGGGAAGATTTGAATACTATACTATTCCAAGCTGGATGTGAATCCATCAAGGATGGAAGAGGAATGGATTGATTATCCGTTTTTGCAATTGAATTCTCGGCCGAACAGTTGGTGATATCTGTTAGGCGAGCGAGTTCATCTCCCTTTTCATCGGTTAGATTTGTTGAGCCTTCGTTATTCTGATGATGATCTACGGAGGCGTCAACGCTTGAAGGTAGAGTCGTGCTGGAGAAAATCCTGACAGAATTAGATTGCTCAGTATCATTGCAAATATCTTTGGTATGATTATCTTCATTTTCTGAGCGATCGGTATGATCAATTGAAGGGGCAGAATCCACTTCGTTAATCGGATTTGCTGCGCCTTCATTCGGATGATCCTTTTTTTCTTCACAGCTCTCGCCGACACCCATTTGGGAAAGTACTTTAGCACTTTTATCAAAACAATCAGTGGAAATTTCAGCACCGTCAACATACTCAACATTATTTCCCCAATTATTCATAGGAAATTCCCTCATTAAAAATGGTCTTTCTGTTACGAACTCAAAGAACATATTTAGCATAATTGTAATGTCTAGAAATAAAAATAAGTTCATAAATTTCAACATTTCAAGAGAAAAAAGTGATTGACCAATTGAAAACAAAGTGAAATAAATTAATTACTCTTTGCATTTTTGTGCTGTATACGCGGCCACGTTAGTTCTTCAATAGATTCAGACAGCATAATGTCATCGTCTAGGTATATTAGATGTATAACTTGGAGGAAAGCGGCATGCATCCAGTATGGAATCTAATATTACGAGGAAAAAAAAGGAAGAGATTAATGATGAACGTATAATCACTAAACATATTGACACAATCGGTATTCAAGTACTAACATCGATAATATCTCGTCCTGCTACGCTGTAGCCATTCATGTGTAAATATATGCGGACGTGATCATTGACAAGCTCACCGTCATGGAGGAGCTTGTTGAAGATTTTCCTAAGGAAACTCTCGTCAAGGCTTCCAAGCACTTCTCGTACCCACTAATTTTAAGGAATAATTAATGACATTATTGAGCGAACTTTTATAACGAGAAGGGCTGAACTTTCGAAAACTTAGAATGCTATTATTATTATTACTGCGTATACAATCATTTCATTTTCACAACTATTTATGTTAAAGAAGATACTTTATACTTTATTTACATTAAACATTCTACGACAAGTGTCATGATTCTTCCAAAACACCATTTCTTCTCTCCACGCTTCCAATAAGCATGGGGTCACCGTTGTCCCACTTGTATCGGATACTCCTATTTGTTCGACTGGCGGGGACCCCCCCTCTCCAACCAAATTTCTGTTATTTGGATTATACCAGTCTGTAGACGAGTGCATGTTGGAATATCTTCTTTAAACGCGCTTTTAAAATTTAATATTCCAAAATTGCAAAGCCAAAAGGTAGAATTTATTGAAACTTTTAGTGACAAACAAGCAAACAATATATTATTGGTTGTTCAAAAAAGGGTTTGTTAATGTTCTATTTTGAGTTTTTATTCTTATTTCTTTTTTATATATACATTTTATGTATATTGATATTGATAATACGGTAATTCGCTTACTAATAATCTAAAGAATGGAAGTAAAGGTGTAAACCGCCGTCCTGATGTGTCATTATATAATAATGACATACAAGGAAAATTTCGGATTCATGATTGACTTATAACGTAACAAAGAGATTCTGAACCAACCCGTGTGTAATTTCCATTACCGATGTTCAATGAATGAACGCGTTGATGAAAGAATACCAAATAAAGATTTACTGTCAATCATGACGCGCGACCGCAGCACTAATTTTGTCTGCGAACTGGGTCGGACCGTATTTGTCTCACGTGATATTAACTCATCATACTGATATTCACGTCATAATATTATTAATATTTTTATGTATTATATGATTATTATTATTAGATAACAAAAAAGAAATCGTTTAATTTATTCAGGTCTTTTTTTAAGAAATTAATGCAAAACAAATTATTTTAAAGTCTTTTAACACCTCTAACACTTCAAAACTCAATGTCTAATTGAATTTTTATAATCTCCAAATCTTTTTCCAAAATTGAAAATATTAATCTCGTGGAAATTAAATAAATAAAATGAAAAAAACTATTAAAAATGCAAAGATATTTATTTACAATGAAATAATTTTCAGTTTATTCCTCCAGTTCCGAAACTTTGCCAAAGATATTCCGTGAGCAGATAATAAAGCTATAAATTAGAGGAAAAAAAAATTTTTTTTGAGATATTGTACAATTCCTAAATAATCAAGAAATGAACTATATAATCATAGAACCATACCTCTCGATTAGCATTATGGTTAAAAATATTATGATTGCTATCGGTATAGAACTGTACACGATAATTATGTACGGAAGCAAGAGTTAATCTATCAATTAAATTAGCTGTATTTTGGAAGTGAACATTATCTATTTAGGAGGTTGTAACGATTTTAGTTAATAACGCAGATATGATTTCCATGCCCCAAAAGAAACAAAAACAAAACAAAAAAAGGGGAGTATGTTATTCACCATCACCAGTTCCATGTACAACCAAGAATTTAGCATGTTCGAAACCTGTCATATTGGTAATAGCACTATACTCATAACCTTTTTGATTTTGTGCTGGCGTTTTCATATAACGTTCGGTATAGATAGAATCATAGAATCTGTTAAAATAAATGAATAGATAAATATTTACGAATAATTCTATAATTATTTATTACATGACTACTTGCCTCCAATCAGTTACAGGTGCGACGGCCATTCCAACTTGGAAAACTCCAGAATCCGATTCAATAATCTTTGTTGTTAAAAATCCTCCAAAGGACCAACCCCATATTGCCATTCTATTTGAATCAACATATGGTAAGCCCGCCCAATGACGTCCGGCATTAATTATATCCTCTGATTCAATTTCACCTAAACGTCCTCTAACGACACATCTAAATGATCTTCCCTGAAATCCTGTACCGCGCGTGTCGACTAGTACTGTGATATACTTTAATCGATCCGACGAGGCTAAAAACATGTGCCAATCAACCGTGAATTTTGTATTTACAATTTGAGAAGCTGGACCTCCGTAAATATTGAATAGCACTGGATATTTTTCCTTTCCGCTATCATCCATTCCTGGTGGTCTTATTTCGATAGCATTGAAAGCTGTTTTCGTATAATGTATGATTGATTATTTTATCTACAACAAATCATAAGATAAAATTAAACTTACTATTTCCGTTAATGTTAATCGTTAGATGTTTTTTTGTAGGTAATTCAAGGGAATTCATAAGTTCTTTTAGACCGTTATTTTCAGTCAAAACCATTCCAAAACCTAAATAATATTAATCGTGATTAAACTATAATGTAAAAAATGTTTCTGAACAAAGTTCACTCCCTTGATTTATTGAAACCTACTTTTGTCTCCAACTTTCAAAACTTTTTGCCAAGGAATACCCGGACCCTCATATCTGAGATTATAGTATTGAGCACCTGGTGAAAAGCTAGCTGAATAATAACCTTCATTACTGATATCCGTTAATGCAGTCCTATTTTTTCCATCCCATGTTACAGAATATATGTGTCTCTCTGTTGATGATTTCTCTGTGCTGATGAAATATCTAACAAATAACAAAAAATTTATAATGTTAAAAAAATCTAGGGTCGCATTCTTAAAAGTAACGACAATTCGCACGTCATATAATTTTAAATATAATTTGATACGTCATATCATGTCACGATCAAATAACTTAAAACAAAAGTCTGCATCTATATTAAAATCTTACAATTGACTATCATTCCAAAAAAAAATTTTAAAAAATTAAAGTTGACTTACATCAATTCTTGCTTATAATCAACTGCTAATACGCTGCCATCAACCTCCCATTTTCCACTTGTGAGAAACTTGGGAGTGCTCGAGTCGATGGGTGAAAACAAAGCGAGATGATCGTAACCTTGATTCACCACCACATCAATATAACCGTCTTGTTCGAGACTACCCGATTTTTTTTTATAAACCCAACTTTTATTCTGCATTATTAAAAGATTATGGTGGTATAATATCAATTTAAATTGGAATTTTCAAATTGGTATGATGAAATCACCAGATAATAAATTATATTTGAAAATAAACTTACTATTTCGTACCAACCACCATCCATTTTATTGGCATTTTCTTCACGTATCGTTACTCCCGTTCGAAGATTTGAATCTACAAGAACCACTCTTGCTAAATCCTGAATGCGATTCATAACTCTTACTAAAATCTTTTCATTTCCAGCCCACAGAACTTCCGTAATCAATTTATCATCATCTGGAAAATCATCTTCAAAAAGAATAGCAGCGGATTGAGAGCGTAACGGAGTTTCCAAGTCGTAGATATGGAAAGTGACGATTGGGTTTGGATATCCCGGTTCAGGGTATCTTATTACAACCTCTTTGGGATAGGGATCAACGTTAAACCCATTCATATACATAGGAAATCGATATTCTGGAACTTCCGACTCATTTAAACGAAGATAAGCAAGACGCTTCCCATCATCAGACCACCATATTGCGTTATCCGCTCTAAGTACTTCCTCTAAATATTTTAAATACAAATGTTTAAATTTGGATTCAGAATAATTTTAAGTAGAATAAAGGTTAAATATCAATACCTTCATAAATCCAGTCCGGCATACCATTAAACACAACGGCTGAACCATCAAATGTGATACGTCTTACATCTACTAGATCTACTGATATATATACGTCATTATCTTTGATAAAAGCCTATGACATACCAAATATTGACTAGTTAGAACCAACTTCAACTATAAATGGAAAACCATACATAATATCATCTTACCACAGTATGACCAACAGGACTCCATCGAGCATAAGAAATTACCGCTTGATGATCATCGTCAATGGGTTTCGTAAGAGGGAATAGTGATTTCGATGTTATATTAAAAATCAGATAGTTTGAAAAATGTGAATATCTCCATTGCTTAAATAAAGAGATGATATTAGATGATATTATAAATTCATGATATAAATTCTACAAAAATAAAAAATATGATATATTTACCTTTGTTCTATTAGTTGATAACAAAACATAATTTGAATCCGGAGAGATAGAAAAATCAAAGTAAGCAAGCTGAGTTCCATCATTCTAATAATAATAATAATAATAATAATCGAGTTGAGAAATTTAAACCAAAACGACGAAAAGAAACATGAATCTGCGCTAATGCACTAACATCGATGAGATCAGATCCTTTAACTAAAGTTTGCTTTTTCCTATCTGAAATTCGCTCCAATATGATATCATCATTATAATCCCGATATACAAACGTACCATCTTCACCTAAAGAATGTAGCACATCAATTGATATTTTGATGAAAAAGGAAAAAAAAAAAGAAATGGAAAAGGAAAAGGAAAAGGAAAAGGAATTCAAGTTTATGATTGATTTGACATACCATCAGCCTCGTTCCATATCAAATCCTTATATTCGGGAGAGAAGCTACTATTGTATAAATCATCGAATTGTATTCGATTAGCAATGTTTTCAATGCTTGAACTACCTGTTTTATAAAATGCATAAATAATGGCCGAAACTAGCCATGCGACAACGAATACACCGGCAATGCACAAGCAAGGTAATATCGATCTGTCACTCTTCTATGAAATGATTAATGTGAAATCAGTTTTTTGCATATAAAATTTATAAGATCAATAATATAAGATATTTTGAAGTAACTCACCTCTTTTCCGTAATCTATGGCATCCATACTTTCGTCAATGTCAACCATAGTATCTTCTTCTCCTCTTTCTTTATTGAGCATAGTTTCTCGTTCTTCCTCAGTATTATCATATCTAACATTATCACTGTCTGGGGAATCTGCCGAACTATTCCACTGAGGATCCGCCAGCTCCCCAGCTTCATTCACAGAGGTTATTCGTGGTTCATGCTCGGATTCTTTAGAAGGTAATGATATATATTTCAAAATTCTCATCTTTATTGCTTTAACTTTTTTCTCTTTGTAATATCCTTCATGGACAGGTTATGTCGTTTTTATTTTACAAGAACCGATAGAATACAATTATGGTTATAAAGTAAAAGCGACTAAGCCACTATTAAGCCACCGCTAAGCCAAAGAAAGTTGTATAATAAAGGTTTTAAATAAAAGAATAAAAATCAAAGGGATTATTATAAAATTTATTATTTTCAGTTTGTTAGTATGGGAAGGAGTTGATCGAAATTGATAAAACGGAATTAAAGGAATTATTTATCGTTACTCATTAACGGAGTTTAGAGGTTAGAAATGTCAAACACCGAGTACGTTTATAAACCAATAAACAGGTCAGGTCATCACCCAAAATGAGTTATGTTATAGACTTTTTTGAAACTCGCATGGAAAATTTCATTGTTTGTGTAATGTTTGATGTGTAACATTTTCTATGGTCTATCAAATTTCTTATTTTGATTCGCTTCGAATACTAAAATCGATAAACAGTCTAAGCCAATTTCTATAAAAGTACACATCTTTATTTCGATTAATATTAATTTTTCATTTCGAACCAGTTTTTAATTTTGTTTCAATGAATCGTGAATTGATTTAGTTTGAGATCCAATCAGATAAATAAGAATATGTGTGATGTGTGATGTAGCTCATTGAATGTGAAACTAGCTCTTTTATTTATATTAGTTAAATATATATTTAATAATACCGGATATTCCATAACAGCTCATGTTAAAACACTCGATAATTATAAACTATGCATTTGATGTAAAAGTTGAAATGAATGAAACTAAGGTAATTGAACAATCTTTTATTATAATATATATATTTATATAAAGAGTTGGTATTCGAAGTTAATAAATTTTAAAAAAAACGCGTTATGTAAATAAATTTAAATAATAATTGGGAACGAAAAAAAAAATAAAATAAAACAATTTATCTGACAACAAATTGTTAAGTGAATATCCATCCTTTTGAAAAATGACAATTTTTAATTTAACCATTTTTGAATAAATTTTCATTGATTTACTCATCACCCCCTAATGTATAAATAATTGTTTTCTCCCTTTATCTTATCTCACTTTTTTTATTTTATAAATTTACAATCAAAAATATGTCAAACCAATTTTTACTAAATTTAAGTAAAAATTACATTAAATTATTGGATGATGATGAATTTTACGATATTACAATTGAAGTTGGTAACGATTCTAATGTAAAAATCTTCCGTGCGCATATGAACATTTTATGTTATCGTTCTCCGAGTTTTCGAAGGGCTTTAGCTTCAGATAAAAAAAATCATAGTTCCTTGACTCATTTGAAGTTGCCAGGTATTTCGCCGGAGATCTTTCAAATCATCTTGGAGTAAGCGAATAATTCTAATCTTTAAATTAAATATTTATTATTATGATTTTATATTTATATATTTTTTATTTTAATTATTTTGTGATATAGATACATTTATGGCGGCATGCTTTTATTAAATGGGCAAGATTCTTTGAGCATTCTTAAAGTTTTGACCGTTGCTAATGAATTTCTCCTTCAAGAATTAACCGATTATTTGCAAGCGTATTTGATTAATAATAAATCCGAATGGATGGAACAAAATTTTGAGGTTACATATCGAGCGTGCTTTAAATCTAATGGTTTATTGGAACTTCAAAATTTCTGTACAGATTTAATGGCCAAATCCCCCGAGAAATTTTTTACCTCACTTGATTCTACCTTACTTCCCGAAGGAACTTTGATATCATTCATTAAAAGGGATGACTTACAAATGAAAGAAGTAGAAGTTTGGGACCATGTGTTAAATTGGGGTCTTGCACGAAATCCAACCCTTGACTCGGATCCTGTAACTTGGACGTATAATGATTTTAAAACGATGGAATGTACTTTACAACGTTGTCTGCCTCTGGTTAGATTTTTTAGTTTATCTCCAAAAGAATTTTTTGGACAGGTTAGACCATTCGAGAAACTTTTAAATCATAAATTTTATGAAGATTTGATGGGTTCTTATATGGACCCTGATAGTAAACCAAATGATCATGTTTTATTCCCTAGAAGTATTTTAATTGATGGAATCCTTGATTCTCAAATTGTTAATTTAAATGTCGTTTCAATGATCTCCAGATGGATTGATAAAACTGACGTTAACAATAATTTCTCTCATTTAAGAGAACTTTATTTACCATACAAATTTAAATTATTGTTTAGAGGAAGCCGAGATGGTTTCACCCCAGATAGATTTCATAAATTATGCGATGGTAAACCCAATAATGTTACCTTCGTTAAAGTAAGGGGTACGAATGAGATTCTGGGAGGGTATAATCCCAACGTATGGAAAAGTGAGGGAGGGTGGAATGAAGCTAAAGACAGCTTTATATTTTCCTTTAAAAATGAGAATAACTCGATTAAGGATGCGATTCTAAGTAATGTGGATAGGAAGGATCGTGCTTTATATTATCAAATTAATGATGGACCAGGCTTTGGATCCGATCTTATCATATATTCATTTAACGTAATAATAGACGATTATTCAAATTATTGTCAAAAAGGCAGTTATATAAAAAAGATACGTGATACTGATGATTGCTTTTCTATAGAGGAATATGAGGTATTTCAAATAATTAGAAGATAAACATTCTATATGTCAAATTTAGATATATTTTATTTGATATAAATCATGAATCAAAGAAAAACCAATGTTTAAATTAGGTAGATTGGTAATACTAATTAATCCGTTACAAACAAAACATCATCTGCGTAAAATATTAAAGCAAATTTATTTAAATTAGATCTCGTCTAATAATAATACATATGAATTTAAAGTTTTTTATTGAACAAAACTTATTGCAATAATATATATATACGGTACGCTTTATAACTGCCATCCCATATACAATACAATAAGATTTAATTATCAGGCATTTATTATTCGAAGATTTATGTCAGAAAAATTCGATACTAAGCATTTATAATGTTCGATACGCCTCGTATTTATTATGAAAAACCCAACATAACTATATATGACTTTTTTCCGTATTATATTCGGTCAAATTTTTTATTAAGAGTTCTCTATATAAAGAGAAATTTATTATAGAAAAGAATTGGGAACTATAACGAGTGCTATTATTACGAGCTTTAATCTTCAAAATTATGACGTATGATTTTCAAAAGCTTGATATTTCAAATATTTTGGAAAGGTTTTATTTTTTTTTGCAGGACTTTAAATGTTCGGAAGCAATCATAATCTGAATAAAATAATACTATCAAGTTTTTGTTAATTATCTTTCAAATAACTTTTACTGAGATTAGGAATGAATATAGATTATTATAATTGAAAGTCCTAATATAAAAATTCGTGCGAATATGGAAAATGAATTTTCTGATTTACTATTTTAATAAGAGAGACGGTTCAAAAATGAATATGAAAACCTTTTACTTCCTGGAATTTATTATGTGTATAAATTTGGTTAAAATTTCGACTTGATTTTCCTTAAAATTCTCATGATTAAAATTTGACCGAGATTACAAAGAACAAGATTAGGTCATTTGATGAAAAGGGAGGAAACTTCCGGGTAAAACAAAATTTACATATACATACTACGGCGATAAAATATGTCTAGATTTAGCATTTAATTCAAACCCATTTTTCCTCCATTTCTTTCTAATAAAGTATTCATTTTATGTAGGAGGTCATTTCATTAATTATATTTAATAAAATTAGAAATCGTATCAAATTACAAGGGTCCATGGTTATTTAAGTTCTATTTATTTTTGTAAACGAAAGTAAAAAAAATAATATTTTGCTTTAATGCAGTGGATGATCTGATAATCGCTGAAATCTTTCAATATAAAATAAATTTGAATGAAGTAAAAAATATATATACATATAAATAAATAATGGCAAATCCCTGAAAATTTTAAATTGTGTTTCAATCAAAAATTAGAAAATTGTAACTTCGATAAATGATAAAGGGCGTTATCGCATGCATAAATAATGGCATCTGATAAAAATTTATTGCTATAAAGCAATAGCATAGGTTCAAAACAAAAAGATAATGTTTCGTGAGATATTTCTTTTTAAAGTTAGTACGTTACGAAAGAAATTTAAACATATAATGTAAAAAGTTTTCTCCGTGATGCAACGTGAATATCCCGATGTAAACTTTTGGTACAAATTTAGCTCAATTTAGTTCATTTCAACATAAAATTAAAAATTCATTTTCACGTGACATTGCAAAAGTGACAAGCTAATTTATTTATTTATATTTTGGTTTCATATCTGCTTACGAATCTATATAAATAAAACATTCTCATTTATATATCACAAAATCGGAAATTGTTAGATGAAACATTATAAAAGGCTTTGTTTCAATCTACTTTGATTTTATCTCCTTTTGCGTTTGATCTCTTCATAATAAGGTAACGATCCAAATATTATATACAATATATTTTGTTTGAAATACTCTTTTTGATGATATAACCTATAACCCTGTTATGCGTTAAACATCAATGAATGCTAGAAGATATATTTGGCACTGCGATTGCGCCACGCTACGTTTGCTGTGCCACAATAATTTCCGTGAAAGAATTTCTGCCAAATATCTAAGACCCTATCTATCGGAAATGGGAAATGCCTTTAGCTTCCTAGGACTTGGTACCATAACATGGATTTCCTCATTTCTCGTTTCGTGTTTTTCGGCCGCAGCATGTAACTTGGGTTTCCGATCATATTATTGTGGTAATTCTATAGCAGCAAGAGTTGCTTATGCAGTGAGTAAATAAACATTATTTGATCAGATATTAAATATTGATTAACCAACATCGTTTTTTAAACTTTAGATGATGCTGCTTTTAAATTCAATCGTAAGTAAATTAGAAATCTTTTATACGTATCGTATTGCGAAGAATATTCTACTCAATCATTTCATTTTACATCAGATTGCATGGATAATGATGTCTGATTGGGTTGCTAAAAAACTTGAGAAAAAAATGCATAGTACGTTACATTTGAATTGTCCAGAAGGAAGTTGTTTTGGAGTTTTAACGGTAAATCATGCAATGTATATTTCATTCAAAATTATTTAGAATTCTAATGTTATGATTTAGGTTCATCGAATCTGTTTTGCACTCTCATTGTTCCATTTTATTTTGGGAGTTTTGGTTCTTGGTGTTAGAGACACGCGTAATCCTCGATTCGAAATTCAAAATGGGTAAATTATAATTAAAAAGTTGTACGTTCTTTTTGTTTCTTAGCTGTCGCAAACTTCTCTCATTTTATGTACCTATTTTGTAATAGATGGTGGGGACCAAAGGTGTTTTTCTGGATAAGTCTTTTGATCGGAACATTTTTCATTCCAAATGACTTTTTTTCATTTTGGGGAAATTATGTTTCATTGATTGGGGCAACAATATTTATCCTTGTCGGATTAATTCTCTTGGTAGATTTTGCGCACACTTGGAGTGAAAAATGCCTGGACAAATATGATCAATCTAAAGATAACAATTGGAAAATCATTCTTATTGGATCAACACTTTTAATGTATGCTGGTGCAATATTGATGACATCGTTCATGTATGAATTCTTTGCCGGATCAGGATGTACGGTTAACCAATTTATTATATCCTTCAATTTGGTATTATGCGTATTTGGAATATTGCTATGCATCCAACCAAAAGTTCAAGAAGGAAATCCTCGTTCGGGATTATCACAAGCTTCAATGGTGGTAATTTATTGTACTTATTTGATATTAAGTGCAGTGGCGAATGAACCGTCTCATGATATGTGTAACCCATTAAAATCCCCTCATAAAACACGAAAAACATCAATCGTCTTTGGATCTTTATTTACCTTTTTGGCCATCGTTTATTCAACTTCAAGAACAGCTAGTCAAGGCAAGGCACTATTAATGAAATATCTTTCTTCTTCAGACTATCATTATAATTATCGTCGTGTTAATTGTGATGATAATCATTATGTTGCTGATGATTTTCGTGATATGATTCCTTTGGTGAATAACGAGCCAAAAGAGGAACAAACCTTACCCTTAAAGCATTTTCAAGATGATTATGATGTTGAAAGAGGGTGAGTGACTCAATTGATTAAACAAGTTAAATAAATATCTTATAATAATTTATCTCATCAATTTTTTTATTTAGGATTTTGTCTGATAAAGAAGAAGAAAAGGTCAGTTATGATCCAGTAGATGATGAAAAACATGATGTTGCTTATAATTATGTATTCTTTCACTTCATATTCGCAATTGCTGCTATGTATGTTGCCATGTTATTGACAAACTGGTAAGTTTATTATAAAGATGAATATTATTTATTTTCCTTTTTTTTTTTGAATTGAATTGTAAACATCCTATCTGTTTGTAGGAATACTATTACAATTACGGGAAATGAAAAATTGGTTGCAATTGGTCAAAGTTTTACAATAGTCTGGGTCAAAGTGATTTCAAGTTGGATTTGCTTTTTATTATATTGTTGGTCCTTGCTTGCTCCTGTCTTGTTTCCTGACAGATTTTGTAAGTGAGCGCCAAATTATTATTATCATCTAAAATGAATTAAAATACTTACCTAGATAATTCTAATTTCGTAGGAATCATATGATATTATTGATACAGTCTAATTCTTTGGAATTAGTTACTATTTATTTATATATATTTTTTTTTAAAAAAAAAAAGCTTTTTTTTATCTTATCTTGCAAAATGAATATTATATACATAAAATTATGAATAGACAAATCATCAATTTTACAATAAATCAATCAATAAAATAGATTAGAACAAAAATAAATAAAATGAAGGTAAAAGTTTACTCGAAAATGATTGGGAAGGTGAAGGATATTCTGGTGTATTGAAGACAATTTAATGAATTAATTAATGGAAAATAAAAAAAAAAATGATACTAAGCATAATGCAACTAGCTGGCGAAATAAAGTTTTTATTTATATATTATGGGATTTTGAAAGTGAAATCGGTTAAAAAAATTATTAGTCAATTGAGAATAAAATGTTTAATTGAATTGTAAAAAATTAAAGGGTGAATAGTTTCATCATTATAATTCAATCAGTTTAAATGTTTATATTATATCTGTTTCATGATCTTTACTTGATAATTGTGAGGTTTATGGGCACTTGCAGCACCCAAAAATCAAAAAAAAAATTTTTTTTAACATATTCTAATTACTATATTTACATTTTACGATTCGTATTTATAAACTGGGAACGGAAACCGTTGGTTAGTCCGACAATAACGGATTTTATAATGATCACGAGTAGCTCTGACAAATAAAGTGTTCTCTATATTTTACTTAACTTGATTTATTATTTGATCTTAATATTCCTAAATTCGAATGCTCTATTTCCAATTCCTTATTTATTATTATTATTGATACATCTTCAAATTATAATAATAAAGATATTTTTTTTTAAAAAAAATGAAAACACCCAATGACAGTTATTTTATAATTAAAGCCAAATGAACCACTTATTTTTTTGAAGTCCAAAATGTGTCATAGCATTTATGACGTCCAAATTCGAAAATAGCGACTTAATATAAAACCTCTTTTTTTAAAAAAATTGTATATTATATCCAAAAAAGGGTGTAAAATAAAAGGTTTTGGACAATCTCATTTCTCTCGAAATGAAAACTTATGAAAGGTACACACCAATAATAGAAATATTAAGAAATTTTGTGTTACTAAATAAACCCTCAATGTTACATAATATCACGGTTACATCATAACTCGGCGTGGGCGTAAAAAAAGTCATAATTTAAGGTTTTTTTTTGTTAAAATCTTGAAGCAAAAAGAATCGATTTCATTTTGGGAACAACTTAATTTAAAGGAATTAAAGTCGAAATTATTGTGGATGAGATCAGAAAACAGGGCTCCCCTCATTAAATCAAAACCATCAGTATTTTTTGAACCATTTAAGTAACATCAATAAATATATAAAATAAAATAAAAATAAAATACGGGCTTAATCTTACCATTGAGCGATTTAATTAATTAATCACCAATTTAAATATTTCAAAGTAACCCTTTTTTTCACATCACGTGAAACACTTCTTACTTAAACACGTGATTGAGATTTAAATTTAACTAACATGTATTGTTTGTTACCTGAACAAAAAAAAATTCGGTTTGGGAATAGAACAAACCAAAAAAAAAACCGAATTAACTTAAAACAAACAATTCATCGAACAACGCAAGGAAAACAAAGCTAAAAATTTCATTGTGCTCGTGAAACAATTAATTATTATTGGTTGTAATAAATTCCCGAATCTAGAAAAATCGTTTTTTTGAAATGGATCGTCGTAAATTTGATGACATATAAATTAATCCTAAAAAAAAAAAAAAAAATTTGTAAGCCAACCTTTTTCCTTTCTGTTTTCTGTTCCCAATAACATCTCACTCTTTTTTTTCTTAAACCGTATTATCAATAGATTTTCTTCTTTTATCACAAAAAGTTTAAAATAGAAAGTTTGAAAAGGTTTCGTGTCAAAACTTTCGGTTCTACCAAAGATATGTAAGAATTCTTTTCAAAATAACTCTTTTCAATTGACCTTCAGGGAGGAGAACGACAAAACTAAGATTTATGTTACTTTTTTCTCTATTTTATCATCATTATCAACCAAAGCTACCATTTCAACTTGAGCAGTGCCATATTATGTTTAGGTTTAATCGATACAATCATATTTTCCCGGATGGCTTGAAAGAATCTTATAAAGAAAAGAAAGATGAGATTTCCAAAGGAAAAAAAATCCTAGGCATTTGCAAAAAAAAACTTAGGGAATTTGACGACTTTGAGGAGTCTGAAATTCCTGAATTAAGAAAATTTTTGTTGATATCTCGTACTTTGTGTCTTACCGACTTGAAAATAGATAACCTAAATTCAGAGAAAAGTAAACTATTTAATTTTATATTATTTCGATTTTAACAAGAAAACATTAGATTTATGTATTTAACTAACCGGTATGTCGACGAACGGATGACAGCTAAAAATAATTATTTTGTTTTGAATATTTTCAGGCATTCTCGAATCGTATGGCGCCAATGATGGGCCAGAAAAATATGAAACGAAACAAGAAGATAACGAATTAGATTTAGATTTTAGTATGGATTCATATATATTCAAATATGGGATCATATCTGGAATTAATATTGATGATATCCCGGATGGAAATTCTGATGACTCATGCTGCATCAAATCCGGTTATAAATCTCCCAAAACTGATCATGAAAGTGGCAATGATAGTCTAATTGCAACCGTCTCATTTGAGGCTTCGCAGGAACTTTATGTCAATGATAATGCTATAGAATATGATGAAAAGGCGGTCTTTGATTATAATGATCACTATTATGAAAGGAAGCCTTCAGTCGCTGTTTCATTTGCACCCGAAGACAGCCACGATATATTAGTCCCAAGTCAATTGGGCAAGCGCGATCGGGGCTTTGATAAACAAAATGCTTTGGATGTGGCAAGTCAAGCAGTTTGCAAGAAAGTTAAGCCATCTAAAGCTCAACATTTGATTTGAAAAAAAAACAAACAAAAAATTTGATGGAACGTAACAAAGGCACGATAACTGTTTTATTTTGAATTATAAGCCAAACATGTTTCACTTGCTTTATATTCTAAAACTTACGACCATGTCGGGCAATGAAATGATCTTTGTATTTAAATCAAATCTATCTAGTTACAGTATTATTAATGGCTTTTATTATTATTATATCTTGCTCTTGGGCACTTTCTCATATTATAATAAAAATGAAAATCCAATTTTTGGATGTAGGATGATGATTATGCACGCATTTGCCTGAAATCTTTTTCTTGGCCCGTGCGTCGCCACAGATGCTTCAAATGGAAATCGTTTGGTGAACATCAATACTTAATTTTTGGGGAGAAAATAACGTTGATAGCTTTATAATTATTCCATATAATGAAACTCTTGTATCATATTATTGCAATTTAGATTTTTAGTGATTCAATTTATTATCATCATAATATTTTAGAATAATTAAATATTACATTTTAACTGTAAAGGAATTTTTTTTCATTTTTAGCACATCATCTCCTTTTAATCCGTAACTTCTTAACACGCCCAACTACTTGTATTTTTCAATTATATTCCTATTTTGACATTAAAGTAGTTTTCTTCATAATAAAACAATCTTAACCAAAAGCAAATGGTTTAAATGAAACGCGATTTCTCCAATTTTATGAAAGGTGAGATTTGGATAAATTTAATCAATAATGAAGTAAAGTTTCCTTTGATTACTAAAACGGTATTCAATAATTGGTCTTGAATAGTAAATTCAAGAATTTCAATTTTTGAAAAGAAGCATGCCTTAATTATATATAATCTTTGGTGAAATAAATGGGAAGTTGTCAGTGTTTATCACCAATCATGTGGATGTGTTGGTATTAACATGCCTCGTTGATGAGCATGGTAAATTATCAATGAACGGAAATAAATCTCACTACCCCAGGTGAGAAGACCCTTGTAAATTCGATTGTTAAGGTTTGATATCTCTCGCTTAAATGGAAAAAGGTTAGAGCCGAGACCAATTATCAATTCTTTAAACTATTCTTGATATGTTCATTCATCCGAGACCAAAAACATTATCATTATTCCATAATATTGTGACCGAAACTTGACATCAAAGTTAGTGCACAAGTGCAAAGAAAATTTGTCTTTTACTAGAAAACTAAAATTTTGTAAAGACAATCAAAGTTGAAATGTCTTTTTTTTTTTTGATGCAGGAAAATAATAAGGAAAATTTGCGAACACATGTTAATGCTAGAACTTTTCCCATTTACAATGATGATATGATCGACCAAACATTTCACAGAACAGCAAAACAAAGTAACTGCACAAACAAGCAAAGCACAGCCTAAACAATAAATTACCTTCATTAAGCTATATTGGTCATTTTTCATCTGATTTTTTATCCAAACGGAAAATTTATTCTGAACTTATCGAGATAAATTTAAATTTTTTTTTTTATTATTTTCTTGAGAACTTTTGTTTTCAAATTAAGCCTTTGCACAACAAATTATGTTTTTCAGATTTTACCCGAGCTCGACATTCTTTATACCAGTATGACAAGATCGATCAATAGACCGATTTTAGGAAATCAATATAAAAAAAAATTAGAGATTATCAATTATCATGTTGACAACGTTCCACAAGATCTCAAGTGAACTTTGACAAATTTAGATAAATCATATAAAATCATGTTCGCTTTGAAGCTTTGTAGAAATAACTTGCCGTTAAATAAATTTTATTACTCGTCTTTTTTCCTTCAAAACCTTGCAATCGCTACAAAAGTTCAAGTAAGTTATGAATTTTTATATTTTCCTTGAAGAATCTTATTTTATACGCAAATATTTAATATATTTCTTTATTCAACTTTAGACAATTCGTACCAATTTCTCAAAATTCTCAACTTTTTCTAATATAACAGAGAAAATGGTCACGTCATCATTTCAAAATCTTCCACCAAATTTTACCATTTCACAGGATAAAAGTCATGCGGTATTATCTGTTCCCATCGAAAAATCTTATAATGATGATAGATCTTATAGACTTATTAGATTAAGTAATGAATTAGAAGCTTTACTTATTCATGATGCTAATACGGATTATTCAAGTGCTGCTATAGATGTTCACGTTGGTCATTTATGTGATCCGGTAAGGTATCTTCAAAATATCAATATTAACATCTATATCAATATGGAATTAATCGAAATTTCTTTTTTTTTTTTTTAAAAAAAAATAATTATTATAGGAAAATTTACAAGGACTTGCTCACTTTTGTGAACATTTATTATTTATGGGAACTGAAAAGTATCCAAAAGAAAATACTTATAGTGAAGATTTATCAACTCATGGTGGTCATTCAAATGCTTATACAGGAGCTGATCACACAAATTATTATTTTGAAGTTAGATCTGAATTTTTGGAAGTTACTTTAGATCAATTCGCCCAATTCTTTATAGCTCCATTATTTGATCCAAGCTGTACCGACAGAGAATTATTGGCGGTTGATTCCGGTATTGAATATTATATATTTTTTTTTACTTTCGCAATATGTTCCCTTAAATCATTAAATAACAGTTTTTTTTTAGAAAACAATAAGAATTTACAATCGGATGTTTGGAGAATTTCTCAACTGGAAAAATCGTTAACGAATCCAAAACATCCCTATTCAAAATTCAGTACAGGAAATTTAGAAACTCTTAGAGATAATCCAATTAAGCAAGGATTAAATATAAGAGATGAACTATTAAAATTTCATGAAAAACATTATTCCGCCAATATTATGAAATTGGCTGTACTTGGTAGAGAATCTTTAGATCAACTCTCTCAATGGGTTGTTGAAAAATTTTCTGCTGTCAAAAATAAAAATATTTCAGTACCTACTTTCGAAGATAATCCTTTAACCGAAAATGAGTTGCTGGTACGTCCAAGATTACTTCATGACATATATATGTAAAATTTTTATTATATATATATACAATATTTTTTAGAGACAAGTTTTTATTAAACCTGTGAAAGAAGTTCACAACTTAAGTATGACTTTGCCTTTTCCTGATCAAAGAATGTTGTTTCGTGCTCAGGTAATGTTTACACAAAATAACAGTTTCTCTTTTTATCAAAAAAAAATTTTTTTAACAACTATTTACATAAAATAGCCTGGAAAATATTTATCGCATTTGATTGGACATGAAGGATTTGGGTCAATATTATCATTATTGAAAAAGAAAGGTTGGGCAAATGGCCTAGGTGCTGGAACAATCCTAGTCAGCGGGTTTGGACTTTACAAAATTATGATTGATCTTACTGAATCAGGATTAGGTAAATTTTTATTTTTTTTGTTATCTATATGTCTCTTTCTTATAATTAATCTATTTATTTTCATATAGCTAATTATGAAGATGTGGTCATACATGTATTTCAATATATTGAAATGTTGAGGCGTGAGGGTGTACAAGAGAGGATTTTTCGAGAAGTAATTGAATTTCAGTCTTAATTTCCTATATTTATAAAAATTTTCATTAATATCGTTCTCTGTTGTAATATTGTAGGTTGAACAACTCTCTGAAATATCATTTAAATTTGAGGAAAAATCCTCACCATCAAGATATGTTTCAAATCTATCCAATTCTATGCACAAACCATTTCCAAGAGAATGGGTTTTGAGTGGAAATTCTCTAATAAGAGAATATAATCCACAATTGATTCATGAATCAATTGAATCACTTCGTCCCGATAAATTTATTCTTGCATTAATTAGTCAGTCTTTTACCGGATTAGATCAAAGAGAAAGATGGTATGGAACTGAATACAAAGTGGAAGCTTTAAGTGATAAACTTGTTCAGGTACGACATAAATTGTCTTTTTTAGTCGATTGTTGAATTTAATTAATACAATTGATAATATATAGGCTTTGAATAATATTAAATTACATAATGATTTGAAACTACCTTCAGCTAATGAGTTTATTCCAACAAACTTTGAAACTCACAAGATTGAAGTTGCGACGGTAATAAACGTGAACTTATTTTTTTTAAAAAAAATTAATATGATATAAATCTTTTAAGTCTAACCATATATTAAAAATTCTAAGCCTTCCAAGAGTCCAAATTTGATCAAGAATACTCAATTTTGTCGGTTGTGGCATAAAAAAGACGATACATTTTGGGTTCCAAAGGCAAGTGTAAATATAAAGTTAAGAAGGTGTGCATCTTTTGTATATTTTTTTCTCCGACTTTTTTTATTAAAAATAAAAAAGAAAAAGAAATAAGTCCCAATCTCTTAATTGTAGTCCAATTGCTTATGTTACACCATTGAATTGTGTTAAAACTCAACTATTTACAGACTTACTGAAAGATGCTCTAAATGAATACTCGTATAACGCTGAAATTGCAGGATTAAGTTATAGTCTTGAAAATGAACAAGAAGGGCTATTATTATCGATTGATGGTTATAACGACAAATCACAGGTTTTGTTGGAGAAAATTGTTATTAGAATGAAAAATTTTGAAGTTGATCCCCAAAGATTTTTGTTAATCAAAGAGCAACTTCAGAGATCTTATAAAAATGCTTTATTCGAATCACCACATTATCATGCAATGTATTACCTATCATACGTGACGCAAGAAAAATTGTGGACAAACGAAGAAAAGTTAGAAGCATTACAGGACATCAAATGTGAAGATATAACAGCATTTTATCCTGAATTATTGAGTCAATTACATATTGAATCATTAATCCATGGGAATATACTTAAAGATGATGCGATTATAATGCTCCAGAAAGTTGAGGAAATTCTTCGACCAAAAGCACTCCAACCGTCACAAATAGTTGGCCAAAGATCTGTTATAATTCCATCAGGAAAAAGGTTTATTCATCAACGAAATGTTTTTGATTCAAATGAAGTTAACTCTGCCATTGAATATTATATTCAAATTGGTGATTTATTGGATAAAGAATTAAGATCTAAACTTGGTTTATTATCTAAAATTGCTTATGAACCGTGTTTTGATCAATTAAGAACGAAGGAACAACTGGGTAAGTAAAGTTTTCTTTTCCCTTGATGAAAATTTTTTAATTAATTAATTTATTTATTTTTATTCCTTTAAAAATTTAGGATATATTGTCACGAGCGGATTAAGAAAACGAGCGAGATCTTTGGGATTTAGGGTTATCGTACAAAGTGTGAAGGATACGATTCATTTAGAAAATAGAATTGAATCTTTTTTGATAAAATTGCGGGTATGACTTTTTATTTTTTATTAGATAATTTAAAAAAATTTTTTGTCTATTTTACATTTTTAACACACATCATATTTTTAGAAAGACATCGAAGAGATGTCAGAACAAGAATATCAACATCAAGTTCAATCATTGATTTCAAAGAAATTGGAGAAACCCAAAAAGTTATTTCATGAAACTAACAGATATTGGCCCCAAATTCTTTCCGGAAATTATGATTTCGAACAAGGTGAGAATTAATTTAATTTTTTTTTTTTAAAAAAAAAAAAAAATATTATATTCTAAATTCCTCCTGTTTTTTACACTCCTATTTTTTTCAAAAAAAAATAAAAATATTAAGCTAATACGGACGCAGAAGAATTACGTAAAATTATGAAACAGGATCTTTTAGAATTTTACGATAAATTCCTTGATCAAACTTCACCATCTTACAAAAAACTTTCGGTACACTTGAGATCACAAAAAACATTACCATCAAAGTCGCTTAAAAACCCGGTTGATGTTAATCATCTACATCGATGTTTATCCTCACATGGTCTCGATTCAATAACAGTACAAGTTTTACAAACTTTTGTAAATCCTCAAACAAACTCGGAATTGGATGGACCCGATCTAGAAATAATATTAAAAAATGTACTGATCGATCAAACCAAATCTAATGAAAATGAAATCGAGGAATTGGTGAAAAAACTCAGTAAAACCTATTTAAATGGTGACACAAGTATCGTGGAAGAAGTAAAAAAGGATAAAGAAAGAAAGTTGGAAGAAGAATTGGAATTAAAATTAAAGAAAGAAAATGAAATGATTGATAATGTTATATCTTGGAAAAATCAAATGAATTTAGGTCCTACAGCTAAACCAGTTGTACCGTTTCAACAATAATAAATAAAATCAAATTTATGCAACATGTAGATACTGCGGAATTTAATATAAACATTTAAAATAAATAATAATGCATTTAATAACAAAACATGTATGTAACCAAAATCAATACTATTTTTTCTTTGGATAATATTTCTAAATTGATCTTACGGCATACAGGTAAATAATTATTTATCCTCCAATCTTTGATTCGAATCTTCGGACTTGTTAACGGGTACTAATTTTTTGATCTGTGTAAAAAAAAATTTATTCCTCCGGAAGTCTTGAAAAAATATCCGTTCAAGAAGAACTTTGTTTCGGTTTATAATTGGTGCATGAAAGAAGAAAAAAAGGATTGCAATGAAAACAAATTAGTATAAATGCATGATCTAATATGGCAAGGCATTACGTGGGGTAACAATTTTCATTATCGTCCCACTTTTTTTTTTTTTTTTTTGCGTAGTCTCGGAATAAATGATTAATTAACTCCTTTTGATGATGCCGTAAACTTTAATAAGATATTCATTGGGCTAAGTTTCCATTTTCATTTTCATTTTCATGTTTTGTTCAACCAGATTATAGTTTTTTTATTATTATTTTTCTTTATATAAGGTTCCAAATTGAATGAAAACGTGACCTAACCGTCTTAAGTTTAATTGAATATGAAAAAAAAGTCTGTGCATTTTTTGAGCATCAAATTTAGAAAGATTACCCGCAGCAAAACACAACAGGACCGAATTGATAAATAGCAAAACGGGAACATTTACATTATAAGAATTTTTAAATGGTATTTGAATGAATGATAATTAAAACGCTATTGAAATTGTCAAAAGTGATTTTCATAGGAGATCAAGGGGATAAATGGATTTGAAACGTTTCAATATTAATAACAATTAATAATATTATGTAATTATTTAAAATTTTTCGAGAGTAAAAACCAACTTCATTACCGGTGGTGATATTATTTACTGTAATATATTAATTATTTAATTATTAAAATTTTAATTATTAATTAAATGATTAGGCAATTAATAAAATAAATAATATAAATATTAATGTAGATAATAAATTTTCACGTCCCTTTATTCGAAGTATCGTATCTTACTAAGCGATAATAATAACACGTTTGTTTGATTTTAACGTAAAATTTTTTTACCCGAGAAAAATCGAGATGAAACGGTAAGGGTAATAATAGTAATAATAATAATAATAATAATTGCATTTGCATTTGCCCCAAATCATTGATCAATCTGTATGGGGAAAGAAATGAATGAAAATGATCTTTTCCTTTACATCTTATTTATATTGCTTACCAAACTTTTTTTTTCTTTGTAAAACAAGGAAAAGATCGCCAGCCAACAAAAAAGATTAAGTAATGGGTTAATGGGTACCGAATTATGCAAATATGCAACTTTAAAATGGTGCAACCAAGAATTTACCCATCCTAAAAAAATAACATACAGGTTTAAGATTTGACATTAACAATACCTTTTCTACGGTTATAATGTTCCCTGTCCTAACAACGGAGAAATTATTTAAAAATTATTTATTGTAAAGATTTGCTTTTGGTACAACCATAAATAAGAAACGTACCATTGATTTTTTGATTCCTGGAAAACCTATCGTAAAATTGTCCTAACGCATGTAATACATTAGGAGTATATGTATTTATATTTTATTTTTTATTTTATTTATATTTTTTTTACAATGCATGTCTGAAATGAATTACGGGATTTGATTCGTCCCAGGCTTTTTTTTTTTTTCTAGTAGTTATCTTCGAATCTTTTTTTTAAAGTAGAAAAAAAAAAAGATTTGTCACAAAGGATTTTGCTCGTGAAATTCAAATCAATTTGGTAAAGATAATGCATATACAAAGTATGACAAATGATTTAGAACAACCATAGGATTCGTTACCGTATGAAGCAAGGAAAAAGCCTTCGAGTACGACTCAGAACCTTTATAGAACTTAGGCGTAGACTATTCTAAAAAAATTCATCGTCCAATAAAATATCTTACCAAGACTTCACCTTTTCTGTGATCATCAAATTTCCCTGTTACATATTTTTTTTTGAATTTCAATTTTTTGTTAAGACTGCGCCATTTTTTGTTGCTAACTTTTTTTTTCGCATGAATTTAAATTCTCATACATCCAAACAATAATAATGGGAACAATTTATTTTATTTTATTTTTTTCATTTACTTTTTCGCCATTTTATTTACTTATTTACTTAATTATTTATTTATTTATTTATATTTTTATTAAAAAAAAAAACTTTTTTTTCGAAACATGGGGTAAATAATGTAGTAATAAATAGATAGAATAAACATATATCCATATGATTAGGTTACTGTATAATTTATTTTCCAGTAACCCCAATATAGTAAACATTTATTATAAAAAAAAAAAAAAATCCGCATTTAAATGATGAAAAAACAAATATTTAAAGTAAGGTGTTTTCATCTTTTTGAAAATTCGCGCGGCTTTATACTTTAAAAATTTTTATTTTCCCCTTCCATTTTCCTCCCCTCACATTAAGAAAAAAAAAATATAAAAATATAAAAAAATATATAATATATAAATAAGACTTTATTGTCAATATTGTCAATATTTAAAAACGTTCTATCCTTTTTTTGTAAAACTATGTTGGAAGGGAATTCGCCAAATCCCGAGCGAATGAACGACAATTTAATTATATATAAAGAAACACAAATGGTTGATATCGCCGACGTTTCAACTTATGAACTTTCAACTTTAAATAAAATGTCAAACAATGATTCAACACAATTCCGTATTGTTAACGAAAGGAGATTTCACAACTTTCCGAATTGTAGGTACCCATTACCTAACGATAACTCCGAAATTAATCGCTTACGATTGGAACATCAATTGTTTCGACATATATGGCATGGAAACTATTCCGCACCTATTACTGACTTACTTCAGAGTAGCGATTCTAAAGTACTCGACATTGGGTAAATCATTATATACATAACATCTTGCTAAATCTATTTATTTTTTTACACATTTAATTAAACTTGATGATTTTTTAAAAAGGTGCGGGACAGGGATATGGATCGAGGAAATGTCTGATGAGTTTCCTTTAGCGCACTTCACGGGTATAGATATTTCGCCTATATTCCCTCAAAATACTTCAGAAAATTTTTACTTTCATCTGTGCAATATAATTGAAGGTTTACCCTTCGAAGACAATTCGTTTGACTATGTTCATTGTCGAAATGGTCTTACGGCATTTAGTACTTACGAATGGAAGCAAAAGGTCATTCCAGAAATGATCAGAGTAACTAAACCGTCAGGATTTATTGAACATTGTGAAGTCGATGGTCATCACGTAAACGAAGGGCCCATTATGAAAGAACTCACGAATGCCAGTTAGTTTTATTTTAACGATTTAAAGTGCTAGATTTTTTTTGTAAAGAAAAAAAAACTCAAATTCCTTATTTTTTTTATTTTTTCTTTTTATTTCTCGTTTATTTATCAGCTATGGAATATCATGCCTCCCGCGATGTAGATGGTATGATTGGTGAGAAATTAGATGAAATCCTATTACAGACTGGGAATTTATATAATATTAATCACCAACAAAAATATAGCCCCCTTGGAGGTGGCTGGGGAGGTGAATATGGTAGAATGGTAATTAAATCAGATTTGAAAATGCCTCATGACATTCATAAAAGATTATTAACTTAAAAAACGCTTATTTTTAGGCCATAGATAACTTAGCTCAGGTATCTTTAGCCCTTAGAGTTCAATTATCTGAAGTTATGCGTATCTCACCTACGGAATTTGACGACGTCGTTAGAAGGAGCGTTATCGAAGCCGAATCCAAACGAACGTACTTCAAAACACATCGAGTTTATGCACAAAAACTTCCTTTGAATATTTAATCGATTAGATGATTTCGTATCATAAAATACTTTCCTTTTCGTGTTTTCGTGTACATTTCATGTTTAATTCGTTTAAACAAACAAAAAAAAAAATTAGTCATACAAATTTCTCAATTAAGGATTCTGTCGAAATTTTAATTAAGATCAAAATGATAATAATATAAGATTATGGGAATCAAAATCAACAAACACAATTTATACTGAAACTAAGTTAGTATTAGTATGCTTAAATTTCTTTGGTCGTGAATGAGCAAGATAAAATAAGTTCCAATCTTTATATGTGTGTATATAGAATTATATATGTGTGTGTTCGTAAATAAACAATAATCCCGGTCCTTTTTAAATTTTTTAAATTATTTTCTGCGTTAATTTGTTTCATAAAACGCCGTGTTTCAATCAATAATGATTAATAATGATCATTGCCTAAAAACGATAATTTCTAAATTTGGATATTATAATAGCATTAGCGTCATCTTAAAAAGATACTTGATTAAAAAAAAAGACATTTGGGAGTTTTGCTATTAAAATCATTTTATATTTTTTTTTGACAAATTAATGAAATATCCTAATTATAATTCTGAATTAAGTTGATGATTAATATTATAAATCCTTCACATATTATGCATCACGCCCTGATATAAGTATACTCTTTTATTTCATTTCTGTAGAGGAATCTCGTTTATTTGTTCTCCCTATGTTATTATTACCTTTCATCCTCCGTCAAGTCATTTGATTTCCTCTTAAAATTATAATTTCCATTTGCTTTTTCTTTTTCTTTCATTTACATTATTTATCGACGTCGATAAATATGATAATTTTCTATTATAATGCCGGTTCCATTAGTCAATCCAACATGAATAATCCGTTCGCTTCATTATAATGACTCTCCATTAATATGGAATCTGAAGCCACTTTTAAATTATTATCATCCGATTGGCCATTGAGAAAACAAACAGTCCGCAATGTTACCTGATATTTCATTTGATTAAACGGATGGAAAAAAGATGATTGATTTATATAAACAATTCGCTATATACCGAACAAAATCCTCTGAAATGCATTAATTTTGAATTTCAATTTTGAACATTGATGTTTGAATAAAAACAATGTTCAATAGGACAGAAAAGTATGCGATTTAATAAATTCTTTCCGTCCTACTGTACACCAAAAAAAGTATCCATGAATTAAAGTATAGAGATTGAACGAGAATTTTGAAAACCGAGGACAGAGCTATACTATACTGGCTCGCATTTTTTCAGAAATAAAAATATATTAAAATTCAATTCCGATTAAATCTGTCAAGTATAACAAAATGATAAAGTGATAATTAATTATATGGTGATATTATTTATGTATTAACAGACTTAGTGAAATCTTCTCCCGAATAAGTTTTTTTTATGAATCATTAATCATAAAAAATAATTCATAAAATTACTTGGGAAAGTTAAAGGTGTGTTGTATCTGATAATTTAAATCATACCTCGACCGCTAAATCATTCACCACTTCATCAGTAATTAGTTGTAGAAATATTAGAATTTGAGGTTAAGTGAACTAAAATATTAAACAACCATTAGCCAAACAAATAGAATAGGTAAGCAATTATTAAATTCACATTCCAGAATTGATACAAAACGGGATTCGATGAACATGGACACCATAGTTATATGATTGTTACCTTTCTCGAGGGCCCTCTAAAAGAGATGCATATGATACAGCCAAACTTGTGGAGGTAATGAACACCATAAAGTAAGCAAGTCGTTCATGATAATGCTGATTAAAATGAAATATCGTAAATTCTTATTGGCCAATAACCCGTGATGATAAATAATTGTTATTTATATTCCACCAATACTATCAAAATTTTTGATCACATGCAATATGATATAAAGAGAATTTTGTATAATATAATTATAAATTATAATAAACAGGTGAGAATTTCATATTTCTAGATAATATGAAAAAAAATATATTTTTTATAAAACTTTTGAAATTATTTTACTTTTTACTGTTAGACTTTGATTTTTTCAGTTGATTTTTATTATTATATACAATAAATCTTTCGAAAAGTTGCTAAATTTAAAGAAATTGTGGTTTCTATTTCATCCAACACCTCAATAAAAGCAGAGAGCAATTTAACATTTTTGTCTTCCGCTACCGAGCCTGAAATAAACTTCTTTTGCCAAATATACTTATCTAAGCCAAATTTCGCGACTAGCGGGCTAGCAAAATTAAAGTTTTTCTATTCCTTCTAATTCGCTGATTTCTCATCCAGTAAAAAATATTTATAAAAATTATACTAATATGTAAAAGGTTCTAGAAAAATCAGATTCTAAGAGTTTTTTAATAAATTTTAATTTTATTGATAAAGTTAGGATTAAAATGTAATAAGAATTAAATTTTAGTTAATAAATTCTCAGAATCTGATTTCCTTAACATCCTGTAAAAACTCTCTAAATGCATCCTTCCTAAATGTACAATTTTTTATAAATGCACACTTTACACAGCCCAAGTATATAAAAATCATACAAAAATTTTCTCTTTAAATGCACACTAATGTTTCTGCCAAAAATGCCAATTTTGAAAGTCAAGATATATGACAAAACCTATTATGAAATTTGTAAAACTTGGTAAAATAAACAAGCATTATTAATGCATATTCTCTTTACATATACATTATTTTTAAATTTTCTTTATATAATTGTAGTTAAATGTATGTATATTTCAATCTTTTATATATAAGAAAAGAAAATTAAATTATTTAAATTTATTATATCTCAGAAAATAAAATTCTTTTATTTTTTTTTATTAATTACAGCTATTTTCAATATTTCAGTCACAATATTCATTTTACTATTTTACTATAATTTATAAATGGAACCTATTTTGAGTTATCATTTAAATACATGTTCTATATATTTAATTTGTATAAAATACAATAAACTTTATAGAAATCTCTGTTTTTGTGAATCAATTACAATGTATTAGTAAAAATATTAAGGAAACCAAAATTTTTCGTATTAAAACACTTATATTAGAACTAGTAAAAAATGAAACAATAAATTTGATACTAAATTTATTTCTTAGTTTTGATCTAATAGTTTCCCAAAACTTGAAATATATACAAACTAAACTCTTGTAAATATATGTAAATCTGTCTTAACAAATATGATTATTTCAAAGACATTATTTATTATTTTATTTTTTTGTATTTATATTTTTTTTATTTTACATGTAATTTTATATATTTATATAATTTAGCTAAAAAGAAAAGGATTACTAATAATATAATTACAGAAAATATAAAAGAAAATACTATTGTTATTGATTTAACAAGTAAAATTCTATCTAATATTTTAACAAATAAAATTATTCTTTCAAAAAAAATGTTTTAAATAAGTATTTTTTAATATATATTGTAACTATTTAAAAATTTACTATTTAATAATTAAAATATTTTTTCAACTTTCATTTCTATATTATATTTTAATCAATTTTAGCAATCATATAAAAACTTAATAATATTATTTTCATTTAAAATTTTAAATTTTAGTAATATAGAAAAAGAAATACTTTTGAGATTATGTTTAAATCATAAAGAAAAATTAAAATAGATCTGATTTGTTATCAATTATCTTTAACAATCAAAGCAAATTATTTTAAAATAAATTCTTCAGATATAGTTATGACATTTGTCTCAATAGCTAAAAATAAAAATAAAATTCAATTATACATATATCAAAAAAAAACTGAAAAATCTCAAAAAAAATTTTTTATATAGAAATTCAATTAATAATAATTAAGAACCAAATTTAAAGAATGTAAAATCTAAAATCATTATTGAAGTAAAAGAAAGATTTATAAAAATTTGAAGTAATATAATTTTCATATTTAAAATTGCTTAATTGTAGATAATAGAAGACATCTTAAATTAAATAATGAAATAGTTTTAATGTGAACTTGTATTATTATATAATATCAATATATCATATATATTATTTTTCATCTATATATTTTTTATGAAATATTTATGTATTTTACATAAATTTTTATAAATTAGTGAAATAAATAGTGAAGATAAAATTACTTCACCTTAATTTTAGTATTCAATAAAGATAAATATAAATTTCCAAATTTTAAATAAATCACAAATAATAAATAAAATTAGTATAAATTTTATTTATGTTATTTTCTAAGATATTTTATAAATTCTTATATTTATGTATTTATATGTATATATTTTATAAAAACCTTTTACTAATATTATAACTAAGTCTACTATTCAAAATTAAAATTATAATGATCTATACAAAGAATACTAATATTTAAGTCATTAAAAATATGACTTTTCAAGAAATTATTCTTTATGCATTTTCATTTGATTTACTATTTGATAAATGATTTATTGTAAAATCATTATTTAAATCTGATTTAATACAATTTATATCAAGTCAGATTATAAAAGTAATTTTTTTTTGATTTCTATGCAGACATATATACAGATTTAAAAAATAATTGATTTTGATTATCTTAATCTTTGTAGAGAAGATTAATTTTAGAAATATCTGATTTTATAATATAATGAATAAATATATAGAAAATATTTTGGTTATAATAAATATTTAGGATTTATTAGTATTATTAAAAAATTTCAGATTATTAATTATATTTATACTTATATACTTATGTGATTTATGATATTATATAGAATTAAGAATTTCTAAAAAAGAAATAATGATTTTTTTTTGAAAAATCTTTATTTATCCTTAGATTCTTATATTTGATTGATTATAATAGAACCTAAAATTAATTCACATATATCATAATCATGTTATAAGTAGCATTGGTATTTCTAAAGTTATAAAATCAAATAATCCCAATCATAAAGTTAGAAATCTTATTTATTAATTTATGATAAATAATTTAAAATTTTTTACTTAAAGTATAAAACTAACTTTAAAGTTGAATAATAATTCTTTCTTTTTAATTTAAGTTGAATAGA